TGTTTGTGAGCCCAGAGCAGGTTGCATTTGGCATAAATCAGATGTCTAAAGCCAAGTATGGGCACACTGAACCCCTAAACAGACAGAACTGACAGTCTCTGACTTCAAGCCCATGCCCCTGCCAGTTTGGCATTCTTCTGAAAAGATTTCAGTTCCACATTCCAGCGCATGAACTTGGAGGGAGAGAAATCCTTCCCACAAGCTTGCTTAGAAAATGAGATGCATCCCATAAAGCACTTTCATTTTGTGCATGTAACAAAAAATTAATTAGCTGGTGTCCTTCTCTATTAATCTGCATATGACCAGTGAGTGATTTCTACAGAACCAGTGGAATAATCCCATTGCCAAGGATTATATCCCTGCACAACACCTGGTAAATGAGTCACCAGAAACTGTTGGGGAGGACACTGATAGCATAGAAACCAAATTAAATATTTAGGTGCCTGCTACTGGAGGAGTCTCACCATGCTGAGCCAGACCACTCTGTGGCACTCCTTCCAGAGGAACAGACAGGACCCACACAGCCTCTGTTTTGCCTCTGTCGTGACAAAGGAGAAGCACTGCAGCGATCGCTTGTGCTCTGAGGTTGATCACATCTGACTTTCTGCAACCACACTCAATGGACAGAGATTATGAGAGTGAATTCTGGTGCTCTTTGTGTCTCTCCAGTGCTGGGATGTTGATGAGCAGCGACAGTTGCACGACTGCTGTCCTTTTCCATGGTGAATATTGGAGATGGAAGTGTAGAGACATGGTGGTACGTGCTGCTTCTTGCAGCCCTGTTCTGGGAGGCTTCTGCCCCTGAAGATCCTCACTGGATCAGCAGGAATAAGAATTGTGTTGGAAGATACCTGGACCAGCAGAGTATTTATGTGGGTCCATAGACATATATATCAGTATATTTATCTGTATTTCTCCAAGTATATGTAAAGATTGGTCATTTTCTTTGGGGAGGGAAGGTCAGAGTACACACCTTACCTAACTGCACCAGGAACCAGGTCATACTGTGTTATTCCATGAAACAATGTCTCTTCATATCTGTGTCACACTCTAAATGCCACCAGAGCCAAACTGCCCATGGTAACTCAAATCACCCTGGTTCTGCCCTCCCTGATCTTTTCCCTGTGCAATCCCTTCACTTACCTAATGATACAGCACAAACCATGATCACACTCATAACCCTACAACATTTTTCTGGAGATCAGTGGGAAATCATCACCATTCAGAAATGCGATAAAAACACAGCAGCCCACAAAGAGCTGAGAAATCAAGGAGTCTGTGTCTGAGCAGTTTGTGAAGATGCTGTGGACAGCCCATGTACCTGTGCAGGCTACTGCTACCAGAGAGATGCCTGGAGAGCAGCACGTGCTGCTGCAAGGTGAACAGAGGCACCTGGGCAGTGCTGTCAGCATGCTGGTGTCCTGGCTGAGGTAACCCACCACAGGGGACATCAGTGCTGGCAGCACAAAGCAGCATCCCCACCTCTCTGAGTTCTGTTTACAGAGCCTCAGCCTCAATTGGCAGCGGCCACATTGCCATGGCCAGCGGGAAGGTGGTTGTGTGCCAGGCTTCAGAAAAAAAGATGGCATTTCCCTGTCTTCAAAGCCACTGAGCTGTGTAGTCACTATGTTTGCAGATGCTCCCTCTTTAGGGAAGAGAGCTTTTAGAGCAATAACCTCTCATCTTGCATCAGTGTCATGTGGGACACTGAGCACCAAAAGGACAGTGGGACACCAAAGTGAAGAACAGTACATTTTGCTTTGAAGTTTCCATAGCTGGTTATGGAGAGAAAATAGTTTTATTATAAAGTCCAGTCTGTCCAGATTTGTCAGTGGAAAATGTCCAGTGGGGTTTTAGTTATTTTACACATTTAAGAACAGATGTGAAGCTGAAGTTCTGTTATTCCTGCACATTTCTCAGCTATTCTTTGTCAGCAGAAATTTCATATGTTTTATACCCCAATGCACTTCCCCTCCCACTGCTGTAGTCCTGAAGTATTTAAATCATAACTTTGTAACTTCACTTCACTGGAAAAATAAAATATATTACTGCGTCTCACACACAAAGTAATTATCCCAAAGGCTGTTCTGGTGTCTCTCTTAGTTTTTGTCATTCATGAGGTGGAGTCTTGGTGCTGATTTTTTTTTGTTCCAGCAGAAATCATGGTCATTCCCATTGTCCACTTCAGTTGAGTCAATGGTACTCTTTTAGAGGGCTGTCGCATAAACTAAATCAGTGATGTGATTTGGTTTAAGAAGCAACAAGCCAAAGGGGGAAAGCTTCATCTGTTAAATACATGTTCAAGCAGAGCAAATAGTTTACTCTTCTTACCCATATCAGAAGTAGAGTAACTTTCTGCTGGCTGGTGAGGTGAGATGCTGGGCTAGCTGTGCCAGCAGCCCCAGGGCACAGGGGCTCCATGCTGTCACTGAGACTCCCAGGCAGGTCCTGGAACAGGGGCTGGTTCTGCTGATGTGGCAATGAGCCAACGTCCCAGGACATGCCAGGACCTACCTCCCAGCTAACAGGGGATGAGTTGGAAGTCACCAACTATAAAAAATCCACCAGTAACATAGTGTTGGAAAATGTGTCATCCCCAGCGAGGCAAATACGGAATAAAGGCATGAAAATAAATGGCCCCAAAGGAACGGGGGCATTTTTGCTCCTTCCAATGTGCTCCATTTACAGACCACAACCTCGTGCTATATCCTCCATTCAGCTCCTTTCTCGGTGTATCACCAAGGGGTTCTGTGTCTGGCCATGCTGTCAGCCACTGCCACAGCAGTGCCTTTGTAGTGCCTCTTTCTTCCCCCTGATCTAAGATTCTCTTCAAGCATTGCCAGCTACATGATCCCACTGTCATGAAAAAACTAACAAAAAGAAGTATTTTTCAGCAGCCAGGAAGTTGGCATATTTCTAGCTACAACAAAGAAAGTGGCCATAGCCTGTTTTGTACAGATGACTTCCTTTAGTTAGGCCAAAAAATGTGACTACTTCAAAGCTGATTTATGTTTCTAACTGAAGTCCAGAATCTTAATCTCTCTTACTGTTTCCCCTGTCTGAACTGTGCTTGGCTGTGTGCAGAGCAAGGAATTAGGGTTAGAGGTGGAAGTCCGAAGGAAGAAGGATCAATTGTTCCTATTGCAAAAGTAAACAGCAGTAAGTGCTTAATTGTGCTTGTATTTTCTATTCAAGTGGATTTTTCAGTCAGTTGCAAAGAGCCCTCAGTGTGTGCAAGCAGCACAGACTGAAATTAAATCAATCAATCCATGTTCTCCTCCTGTCTTGAGGTGCTTGCTTTTTTTGTCATTGGTCCAGGGCAAGGACAAGCTCCTCCAGTGCTCCAGGCCTCTGCACAGGACAGAACAGCAAAAATCCCAAAATGGTGGTATCCAGACCCAAACTGGGACAGATCTAGAGAAACATCTGGAAATCTCACTGGGTCACCTTCTGAGTGCAGCAGGGCAAGGATCAGTCCTGAAAGCCAAGCCCTGCTCCCAGAGCTGCCACCAACAGCAAGGGGCCACAGCACAGGGCTCTGATCCCCCACAGCCCTTGACACTGCAGGAGGAAAACATGCTCATGTGAAAAACAGCCCTTTGGTGAGCACATGAGGTCCTGATGTCTTGTTTCCAATGGGTTTGTGTTTTGTGTTTGCCCTGGGAAAAGTGTGGTCTCCTATGCTGTAAATTCTAGAACAGCAGCGCTTCACCCAAAGCAAGGAAAAAGAGAGTTTTCCAAAAATCACTTGATTTTCAGCATCAGCCATGCTCCATGTGCAGTGGTCCTGATGCTAACCAAGCTTTATGAGGATGTTTGGATGGAGGAAAATCATACAGTTTTGCACCACATATCATAGCGTGGTAGTCTCCTGTCTTCAGCAGCCAAGTGCCATGGAGAGCATCAACCCTTTGGAACAAGCTCATATCCCCAGTAAAGCCACAGTCCAGGCCCCTGGATGCCCACATGTTTGCATGCCTTTCTGTCACCCCAGACTACCCAAGAGTTTCCCTTTCAGCGGGATTTAAACTCTCCCTCCTTGCCCTCCTGGAAGTGTGCTCTTTATTTTAGCCCTAGCATGCATCCTTCAGAAACAAACCTTCAAGTGCTCAAAGGCCAAATTTGGCTCTGCTTTAATCTGATTTTTACCAGGCTATCCATGAGATCCTGCTACCCATGCCAGTCCTTGGCTTTGTCCCCTCATGAAGATGCTGAAGGATGCATTTCCCAACAAAGACAAGGATGTTTGATGCTCTGGAACCTAACTGGGCTGTCATGCTAATAAATGATACTCCTGTGCTTAAAATGGCCTTGGATAGTGAGATGAAGAACTGGGTGAGTTTCCAGAGACTCTCTGGCCTGTATGTCATGCAGATTATTCCCCCCCCACACCCCCCTTTCCTATTTTTTTTCCCCAAGATTTCATGTGTTTTGACAAACAAATGTAACCAGGATGCTGAAGGGATTAACCAGGATTGAAAAGACTTTCTAGACTTGGTGATTTGGGCTGTTTCTCTTTGGTCTGCATTTCTCAGAGTCACTGGAAGGCTGCAGTGTTCCTGTGTGGGATGTAATGGGTATCACATAAACCCAGGCTGCTACACTGCAGGTTAACTGTGAGCAGAGCAGAGATGAAGAAAGGAATTTAGCGTGGGCCAGAGGCACACCCTCTGTTTTGGCAAGAAGCAGTTCACATTCTTACTCTGATTTACACTAGTTTATAGAGAAGGCTGAACTCAGTTCTTGAAGCATGTGGTAGTATTTAAGTGTATAAAACTTGGAATCAGCTTCAAGTACTGCATGTGGAGA